TACTCAGATTTTAAAGGGGGCAAAGTGAACATTCACCCTTTAAGTCAGTGTTTCTCAAACTGGGGTCGCCGCTTGTGTTGGGAAAGCTCCTGGTGGGCCGGGACGGTTTGTTTACCTGCCCCGTCCGCAGGTCCGGCCGATCGCGGCTCCCACTGGCCGGTTCGCTGCTCCGAGGGACTTACTGGCCGCCGCTTCCAGCAGCCCCCATTGGCCTGCAGTGCCAAATCGCGGCCAGTGGTAGCCACAGTCGGTCGGACCTGCAGATGGGGCAGGTAAACAAACCGGCCTGGCGCGCCAGGGGCTTTCCCTACACAAGCGGCGACCCCAGTTTGAGAAACACTGCTTTAAGTACTCTCAATTCAAATTTTAACTCATGGTCCATATTAACTACCATTTTTACATGTGGGCACAGGGATCAGAAGTCCCTCCTGGTCTGTGGGTTTCCCTTTTTGCAGCCAAAGCAACAAGAGAAGCATCCCCAAATGGGGACACGTTTCCTGAATCAGGATTAGGGCGTGTGGGGCACTGAACTGCCAGTGGAACCATTAGGGAAGACACCCACCAAAACTAAATTTCTGCTGAACACAACACTTAGTGCATAAAAATTAATCAAGTACTACAATGACTTGCTTTATTCATAATACTTAATGGTCATGTAATAGGAGTTTTTATTCAGCAGTAAAGTTCGTAAGTGCAGGTTTTACATGTAGAAAGGTATTATGCTGATGGTTTAATTACACACCTTTTTGCACACCAAAGGAAATGGGTTATGCAGTTTTTGTAATTAAAGAAGGACTTTTGAGGGGAAATGAACTTTGCAGTGACCTGATGTTTTTATTTTGAGTTTAGTGGCATTGAACATCACTCTGTAAATGGTAAAGCCATAAAAACACCCTAGGTGTCATGGCCAAGCTTTTCTACTTCATACTGCATTTTCTAAAACTTAAAAATAGCAACGTTAAACAACAAGTAGCATCAGCATCATATGCTTGGAAGCCTCTTCGTTGCAGTGCCTGAACAATTATATAAATTACAACTGTGTCCAGCATGTCTAGAAAATTAATAGAGAAAAACAAGCTTAAAAAGTAACTGAAAAATAAAACCCATTTCATGCCAAAAATCCTAAAAAAGATTGAGCTTTAGTGAAAGCCAATAGGAAAAAAAAAAAAAAAACAAAAAAAACAAAAGGCAGTGAAGTCAGTTTTCCTAGCCTGCATATCTACAGGGATAAGGAGGCCAAAAAGTGGTAGAGTTATTTGACACTGAAGTCAATGGGGCTATTCACAGTATGCGCAGCTAAGCACACATGTTGTATGCTGTGTTGTTGTAGCTGCATTGGTCCCAGGATATTAGCGAGACAAGGGGATGAAAAGATATTACCTCACCCACCTTGTCTTGCTGAGCCCATATGTAAGTCTTTGTTGGATGAGGGCCTACTCCTGTCTCCCATCACTAGAGTATCTGAACTCCTTTGACACTAACTAGATTGCCATTGCCAAAGTCAAAAGTGGACATCATGGGGATTCTGACTATTCTCCCTTTTCAGTAGATAGCAAGGTCTGCTTTGGGTAGAGTTGGCCAAAATATCTTCCACTAGTAACCCATCGTAGCCCAGGGCTCACCTCTACAGTCTTGTAAACTCATTGACTCCTATCATGACTAACACCAATGAAATCCACCAGGTGATTTGAACAAGAAGCCCAACCATGTTAAATAAGGCCAAAGCCTGGCTTACTTTGAGTGAGCCCTTTGCTTTAAGGTTACAGCATGCACCAGTGGGAGCATAGCTGTACTGAAGAATATTATTCTGTCACAGAAAAAGGCCTTTGGAGGTGGATACGAGGAAGGATGGGGGAGATTCCCTCTCCGGAATTTGACCATTGCTCATGCACCTTTAACAAAGATGGTGGAGGATAACTTGTAGCACACCCTCCCCCAAGCAAAGGATCTATCTTCCAGTTTGGGGGTCTACCCACTCTAATTTGAAATTACACATTGTACAGACAAATATAGAACAATATTTTAAAATCTTATTAAGATTTTAATAAGATTTGATAACTACAGCAGGTAGGGGGAACAGTAGGATGAACTATGTGTACAAATAAGAGAGGCCATTTTCATATTTCATTCGCCAAAAGCATGAGTTGTTACAATGAGTTTGCTTACTATTGTTAAACAATAGTTTTTCCCTTATGAAATGTGTGTGATCTTGCCAGTCCCTTGATTAATATGCTGTTAAAAAGGCCTGTTAATGGTACTTCTAGGCCTTGATCCTGCAATCGAATCCTTGCTGAACAGGTATCGAATCGGGGCCCTCAGGTGTCAAAGTAGGAATTTCTCTTAAGTTTCAGAGGCAAATCCCCAGCTGGTGACAGACGGTGTAATTGCATTGGTGCCAGTTGAACTACAATGATTTACCCCAGCTGAGGATCTGGCCCTCAATATCTGTAGGCTGTTCTATATTGCCATAACTTACATGCAGTAGTTCTGGAGATTCTATTTTGATGTTTCAGCAAGCATGTTAGAGGTGTACTCCTGCGTGTTCCTTTGCCAGATGAGCATTCATACCACATACTCAACAAATATGGTGCCATCAGCTAACAAACAGTGGCTCTCCATAGTGCAATTTATGGGCCAGCTATACAATTACAAAGATGCTTTGCATGATATAGAGTCCCACAATTTGCATTAGTTCACCACACTTCGCATATGATACCCTCCTATTTTTGTTTAACTCTAACAAGAGTAGTTATAATAGGATTAGCAACATTTTTTACTCAAAATACAATTGCCTCATATCTTAGAGAGTATTATTACAGAGTCTTAGGACAAGATGAGTTTTTACTGTATATGTAAATGAATTTAAAATAGACATATCTCAAACACACTTATACATTATAAATCTTTGTGTGAGCTATTTCTCCGCTTGTGAGGAGGAATAGGTTCCAGATAAGCATTTGGTAAACATTTGAAAACATGAGACAAATAATCCTATGCAATCCCAACGTCTTCAAATACACACTTGAAAAATTCATTCTGTAACAATTTCAGCCTATCTCCCTCAACATAGAAGAATCGTAACACTGGTAAAACTTGCAGAAATATTTTTACAATTTTATTAGAGGTTTTAATTCAGTGCTTTATCTACCTCTGTTAGTCTGCAAAATAGCTTTAAATATTCAAGTGGTAATTAATGAATCTTTTATGTTGCAAATCAAACATTTTCATCTGTGCCGCGGTACAGTAGTGAGAAGGAAGGATTTAAAGTATAATTGTTTCTACTGTTCTCCTTCCAGTGCTGAATGCCTTTTACCATTTATTATACCATTGGCTTTTGCTACAGTTCATCAGCACTGGGCCACCTCTTTATTGTTCAATATTTGCTGTCTTTTTTTTTTTTTTTAGTTCAAGATTTCTTACTGTGCCTTTGCCAGAGACATTCCTAAGGAGATGGAAACTCTCTGAATGCGGAATTTTTGCTTGAGTGCAAAATAATAAAAAGCATGTGTGTATTAAAAAGGGATCAACTTAATGGGAAATGAGCATTGGGTTACATTAATATTCTATTACAGTAAAAATCATATTTAATAAATTTTCTCCAGATTTTTTCAGAATCGTACTGTATTTTTCTAAGTCGCATGCCAATCCAAAGAAACCGTGTATATGATACATTTGATTTATGCTAAGTAAATAACCTGCACTGCCCATTTTTGTCCTTTTTTTAAAATAAGGGCAGAAACACACACCAGACTAGAATTTTATGCTTAGTTTTCATATAGTGGGGAAGAGAGTCTTGTGCAGCTGGCAGCCTTTATAAACCGTATTTGATTGTATTGACACTATATGTGGAATTTTATGTTATGTGGCAAGAACATGAAAAAGGTAACATTGCAATTTATCCTAAACCATAACATTAGTACTGCTACTAAAGTAATTACTTCAGATATTAAAACACAGTTTTCCTTTACTTTCTTTTGTCATCACGTAAAATGAGGACTCCAGAGCTACAGTGCAAATAGGCCGCTGCTTATCCTGCTTTCCATAATGCTTATAAAAGGATTGACATCTCCTTGATTGTATGGTATATCAGCCGACCCTTGTTGTTCCATGCCCCTAATTAATATTATACTCAGTGACATTTATGTATCAGAGCAATAAGCTAAACAGGAAACAATTTATGTCACCTAAAGCTTTTTAACAAATCGATGCAACTATTTGTAATTGCTTGTTTCACAAGATTAAAAGTACTCAGCCTTGATCTTCGCCCACAGTTTTGTGGCCAACATGACCTGTGCTTCCGTTGTAAAATAGGAGTGTGGGTGATCAGCACCTATTTCCATCAAGTAATCCATATTGCTAATATTTCTGGAATTTTAATGTAGTTACAATTTATAGCTGATCAAATGTGGTTACCTAAATTGCTGTTGCTAGTAGACAGTTTAACTGTCTTTATTAATTACAGTATAATTTAATGTTTGAGTACAGGCACTTGTGTTGGTCATTTTTACAGCTAAAGCAGTTATGTGCCTTATGACGAACCATTTTAGCATTTTCAATGGAAATTTGCTAATATGATGAGTGATAAAAGTGTCAAACTCTGGTAAATAATGGTTATTGCCTTGGCTGGAATTAATCCTTGAAAAGACGGTTACCTTCAAATTAACATTATAACTTGAAGGGAAAAAAATGTTTTTCTGGCTTCTGTGATACATAAAACAAAACAGAAAAAGGGCCACTGATTTCTTCCAAACAAACATATTTGCAGTTCTAGCCACTGAGGGTTGACTTTGCAATGAAACAAATGCTGTTTTTAAAAGAACTTATGGTGGGGGGAGGGTATTTTTGCCAAATATCACTAAGCTGAAATTGTTTATAATTTGTGAGTCTTACATTTTGAAAATGTTTAATAAAGTTTATTATTAAGTTGCCAATATACACCCTGATACAGCAGATCTCTTAAAACCCACTGACTTCACTGAAACGTATTTCTATTGTTTTAGCAGCTAGGAGCCCCCGTCCTAGGCGATGTTTGCAGAACACAGAGATGACCCCTACCCAGAAGATCTCACAATCTAAGTAGCCTTAAGCAGGTACTTAATGTGCTTAGCGGAATCAGTCTTCCGAGGTTCTGATCCTGTAAGTGAATCCACATGGGTGGACCCCATGTCTGTGCAGATGCCCCACTGAAGTCAGTGGGGCTCCATGCAGAGTCACCTTGCAGGACAGGGGCCACAACAATCAATATGCAACCTAAATATTTTATCACATTTAAAATAGCATTCACACATGCACAGTATAATTCCCCACCAACACACCACATTTCAGTCCACATTTGCCAACTTGCTTTAGACAAGACGGAAGTTTGTAACAACAAACTTGGTAATATTAGAAGGAAGAGTACTTCTATTTGACAGAATTAAACACCATTGATACAAAGATGAAAGATGGTCTTGATTACCATGCTATTACATGAATGTTTAACATTATCATTGAAGTCTGAGCTTGATTAATAGGTCAAGCAGGGCTAATTACACTTTGTTGTGAGGAGTATGCATGTGTGAGAGAGAGCGCGCGCGCGCAACAGTGTTAATTCCTGAAAGTGGTTCCACAATGTGGATTGTGTTCTAGTATATGTTGACAATCTAAGTTAAATGTCAATATTCTAACCTTCTGTAGAGGCCACCTGTAATGTGCATGGGGAGAGCTCTACTTGTCTATTGCTAATTCAGACTATGCCTTGAATTTTCTTTTTAAAATGTCTTATGTTCTGCTAGTTATTTTTTCAGTAGAGAAGAAACCTAGAATAATTAAACACTGTACTTTAATTTTCATCCTGGAGGTTATTAAGAACATAAGAATGTTCTTATGGGTCAGACCAAAGATCCATCTATCCCAGTATCCTGTCTTCCAACAGTGGCCAATGCCAGGTGTCTCAAAGGGAATAAACAGAACAGGTAATCATCAAGTGATCCATCCCCGGTCGCCCATTCCCAGCCTCTGGCAAACAGAGGCCAGGGACACCATTCCTGCCCATCCTGGCTAATAGCCATTGATGGACCTATCCTCCATGAACTTACCTAGTTCTTTTTTTCAACCCTGTTATAGTCTTGGTCTTTACAACATCCTCTGGCAAGGAGTTCCATAGATTGGCTGTACGTTGTGTGAAAAAATACTTCCTTTTGTTTGTTTTAAACCTGCTATTAATTTCATTTGGTGACCCCTAATTCTTGTATTATGAGTAAATAACAAACAGTTCCTTATTTACTTTTTCCACACCAGTCATGATTTTATAGACCTCTATCATATCCCCCCACTTCTGTGTACTGTATGAAGCATCAGAGTGGGCAAAATCAATGTTTTTGACTGGAAAAAGACATTTCTAAGCTTGCTATAGCTGGTGGCCATATTGCAGATTGGGGAATCATTTTGTGACATGCCAGAGTATGGTGTCAAGAGCTTGTTTATTTCTCAGATAATACAAAATACTGTGTAATGGTTAAACATTTGGCTTCAATAGCAAAGAGCCTCTTTTAAGTTGCTACTAATGCTGCATTAAATTAGGCTGAAGACCGAGAGCCTGATCCCGCCACTACACAAGTCAATGGCAAAATTTCATTTTGGAGTAAGCTTGGGCTCCAATTTGCAGGCCCAATTCTGTGAGTGGCCTCACAACTTCCAACCAAGTCCATGGGAGTTGACCAGCTCAACTCCTGGCAGCAGGCTCTCTGCAGTTGGGCACTCCGTACACAGAGACATCCAAACTTCTGGCAAGTTACACAAGCACTCCGGCAGTAAGTGAGAATTTTGTCACTGACTTCAAAGTGAGCAGGAGTAGGTCTCAGTTTACATGGATCAATTAACATGTAATGCCTGACTTTTCTTCTGCCTTGCACCTGGTATAATCATTATCACCTGTACAGAGTGTGCCAATTGGGTGCAAAAATCTATTATGATTTGACTTTGTTTGCCACCCACTTGAGCCAAGTGTAAATGACATCACAACACATGCTAAGCTAATTAATATTGAACTGTATTAAGCTACGCGACCAGTGATTTTAAGCAAGCCAAGTAAATTTGATTTAAAAAGGGGGGGGGGCCTTGTCTAGTTTTCTAAAACTGCAATACACATTAACGTTTGCAGTGAACATTTTTATTCTCTATATTTAGATTATTAAAGTTTCAAAATCAATACCTTTCTGATACACTACTTTGTAACTTATTTATTTTTTGCCCTGAAAGTAGTTATCCAGTATAATTTTATGGCAGAATATTTTTATAAAATCATTTGTACTAATTTAAGCATTTATCATTATATGCAAAAAGATTTCTTGATGAGAATATTATAGACGGTGCATGTTTTTGACATTAGCATTTTATTTGGATGACTAATCTTGCAGATGTGAAATTTTAATGAATTATTCATGGAAGTCTCTCTTCTGAAATTTTTAGTTTGCTGCTGCTAATGCTAGTTATTAAACATTTTATTTTTCTTTATAAAACTTGAAGAAAATAAACGTATGCTTACTCAAGAGAAAAGGAGGTGGGCTTCTTTCTTTAAAGTTTGTCTAAGATGACAATGTCACTTTGAACTTTATTAATTGTGATTTGGCCTAATCCTCTAAACCCTTTATTACCTAGGTATAATGATTACAACTCGGAGCATTTCCTACTGAAGTCGACGGTACAGCTCTCAGGACTTGGAAGTATTTGCAGGATTGGACTAACCCGGCACTTATGTCTGTGCCTTTATGGTAAAATCCAGAGCACTGTTCAACTCTCATTGACTACAAAGGCCAAACCCACTGCTTCTATTTGCAAACAGATGCATTTAAGGGCCTGTTCTGGGAGGTGCAGAGTGCCTTCCAATGGAGTCACATGGGGGAGGGATAGCTCAGTGGTTTGGGCATTGGCCTGCTAAACCCAGGCTTGTGAGTTCAATCCTTGAGGGGGCCACTTAGGGATCTGGGGCAAAATCAGTACTTGGTCCTGCTAGTGAAGGCAGGGGGCTGGACTCGATGACTTTTCAAGGCCCCTTCCAGTTCTAGGAGATAGAATATCTCCATTAATAAAAAAAAAAAAGTTAGAGCATGTTCTGAGCTTTGGAGGACCAGGCCTATGCTCCTCATAGCTGAAGCATCCCCTGTTAAATGTAGATCCAGCCCCTGCCACACACTTTGCTTGGGAAGCCTCATGCAGACCCCACTGACCTGGATGAGATCTCTCCATTGACTTAATGGGGACTCTGGTGAGGTGCAGGGGCCTGCCCATGGTGATCCATTTGCAGGCTGGGGGCCTTAGTGACTATAAGTAACATGAGATAATAAAAGGGAAAAAGAAAACAAAAACTTAGGACATGGCAACTTGTATTACCAGTGTGAACAACCAGCATTTTATTGCATTTGAGAATGCTATAATGTCAGTAATTAGTACTGACTACACAACATTTTTTATTGTCTGTATCAACAGACATGGAATGATGGAATTACAGTTGATGTAAGGAATGAGTTTCTTTTATGCCTTATCAAAAAAAAAATCTCGTTACTGGCAGCACATACACATGAAGCACCATGCTAACAGTCTGGACTGTACCATTTTCATCAAGGCTTATGGGTAGAAGATATTTTGTTACCTACTCTGGGTCCATTAAAATGCAGTCATAACTGCAAATTTTACTCTCAAGACTAGAACGCTAAGTGATTTCTGAAACATCTAAAAATTCAGTCTGAGTACATTAACCAAAGGTACCAAAGGATTTCAAAAGAGTTTAACACATTCTTCACGCTATAAGGAATGTAGCTTGTTGGCAATCTGAAAACTACAATAGTTTAAAATTATTTTTAAAAACTTCTATACATACGCATATATAAAATATCTAATGATCTGCAGTATCTGTAGAATCACAATCCCTGCCCCATTCTCTCTCCCAAAATCTGAGTTTAAGAAGAGTGCTGGGAATTATACTTGAACTCTCATAAGCGACAATCAAAAAAGGTAATATTTTGTGGTCACCATTGTTCTACATAAGCCTTGATTTTTCATATCACTTCTAGTCAAATGCAGAAACCTAACAGGTTTTACATTTACAAACTTTTCTTTGTGGACAAGGAAGGCTTTGACTCTCATTCCTGACAGCGATTTACCTGATACATGGTACTACTTTCATAATGTACGCTTTTCTTTGAGAAAAAAAACATGTAACAAATTGTCTTTACATCTTGGCACCTTGTAAAGTTTTTTTTTCTTTATACAAAAGTTCAATAGTTTGACACGCCCCATTATTAATCACTACTTCACTGATAAACTTTGAAAGTGTGACCCTGGAATTCATCATGCAAAATATTTACTGCAGCAGGAGAAAAACATTTTTAAAACAACTTTTTTTTTTTTTTTTAACTTTTCAAATGTATGAACCTTTGTTTAAGACAGCCAGAAATGGCAGTGGTAAGATAACAGAAGGGGTGGGAAAGTATAAAAAAACCCAAACAAACAAAAAAAACCCCAGCTTAACACAAACTGTACAAAAGAGGCTTCGATCAATGATAACAGGAGAAAAAAATAATCTGTCAACTATGTTACAATTTAAAAGCAAAAAAAAAAAAAAAAAAAAAAAGTCAGGGATTTTCCCCCACATGTCAGCAATGTTATCCAAGATTCTTAAAGCAAGGATAACTAAATAAAATACATGTGCAGCATATTCTGCAATTCCATTACATACAGTAGTTTTTTTTTCCAAAGCTATTTTTTTTTAGTATAGTTAATATAAAGCAGTTGCACAAAAAGCAAAAGATGTTTTGACAAATAGGTATGCATTTATTCCTTTTGAGGAATGGTATCTAAAAAAAAAAAAAAAAGGCGGGGTTTTTTCCCACATTTCAACAAAGGCCTCCAAAATTTTTTAAAAAAGGGAAAAAAAAAAAAAAAAAAAAGTTGTTTTAAAAATGTTTTTCTCCTGCTGCAGTAAATATTTTGCATGATGAATTCCAGGGTCACACTTTCAAAGTTTATCAGTGAAGTAGTGATTAATAATGGGGCGTGTCAAACTATTGAACTTTTGTATAAAGAAAAAAAAAACTTTACAAGGTGCCAAGATGTAAAGACAATTTGTTACATGTTTTTTTTCTCAAAGAAAAGCGTACATTATGAAAGTAGTACCATGTATCAGGTAAATCGCTGTCAGGAATGAGAGTCAAAGCCTTCCTTGTCCACAAAGAAAAGTTTGTAAATGTATATTTCGTTAAGTTTCTTTTTTTTTTATGAAGTAATATGGATATGCAATGAAAATTTCCCACCGTG